AATGTGTAGCTAGCGAGGGACGATATCTTGAATAAACCATTTTTTGTATTTCTCTTGAAATTTTCCATTCTTCATTGATCAGAAAAACCCGGAAACTTAGCTGCGCACCTAGTATCTACGAGCGTGCACCACGCAATGTCCAGCGGCGAATCCATGCATTTTGCAGGATTCGACGCGAGATGCTGTTGACAGCGGCGGAGACACCGCGGTAACGAAATTTCCGGCGATCCGCGGTCGCGTCGTCGCGCGTTGGTCGCCCGTAAAAATTCGCGCGAGCAAGCGTCGTTATTGTTGTCATTATTTATCCGCGGGCCAGAGCGCCGTTTGATATGCATGATTAAAAGGCGGAAATAATCCGCACAGACCTACTAGAGAGTCGACTAAATGGAATAAATACATATGATATACACTGATAGAAAAATATAGTTGAGTTCAACTATAATCTCACTATATTTTATAGTTCATTTGGCGTCAACCGTATTTTTATAGTTCGTGGAAACCTGCAAAATATAGTAGAATAAACACAAATATATAGAGTCAATGATCGTCTTAAATAATTGTTTAGTTACTTTTACCACATATATGGTAATCTCTCATTCGCAAATATAGTGAGATTTAATATTCATATAGTTACATCTGTCATCATTTAGCAAATATTCTGGTAACATTGACTATATAAAAGAGTTACTTTACCTACCATTTTATATTCGTATCCATACAATAATTTTAGTTTAACTTACTACAATTCTTGGTAAAAATATTATATGGTTGGTTATACTATGCCTATATCGTAATTATTACCGATATTATGGTAACACTTACTACAAATATGATATTTCGGACTATAATTTAGTTACTATATCATTATAGTTCCAAATATTATATACTTTTCTCTCAGTGTAGAAGGAAAATGTATCGTTTTCTCGGAGATTTCTCTCGGGACCAGCGGATACATCTGAAAGCTCAGGCGATGGTCTCAAAGCGCCAATTGAATTATTAGTCAATCAGCAACCTTTATCCACCGCGTCGCCTTTATTCGCAAGTTTTACACGATCGTTCCCGGGTCTCGGGCTGTTCGCACGCTCCACTTCCCGCCTGCCAACGAGCGCGCACGTCGCCGACGTTCACTCCTTGACGAATTAATGAATTCGCGCGAATTTCTCCACTTGCCGCGCGTGTATCGCCGAGCCCAGCCGACGTCACTTCCGATCAAGTCCGTCAAGTTTGACAGCTGACAATTATCACTGTCGACGCGATCGCGAGTCGGCAGTAACGTACTCGCTATTGCTTTCAACAATAATACAAAAAATAATATAAGAAAAAGCTCCGTCTCCAGATATCAGGTCTAATATATTAAACGTAGTATCATAAACTGATAAATGCGCTCCGATAAGTTTGTGCTTGTCGCTGTTGCGAGTTAAGCTCGGGAAAGCAACGGGTTGTTCTACCACGGCGGAGATCGTTAAGAAGTCAGAACGCGACAAGATCTAATAGCTATCTCGTAGACAAGAAAGTTACGTAGACTCTGCGCCAAGTTTGACATTCGGTTGCATCAAGATATGCTCTCTCTCTCTCTCTCTCTCTCTCTCTCTCTCTCTCTCTCTCTCTCTCTCTCTCTCTCTCTCTCTCTCTCTCTCTCTCTCTCTCTGTCTGCGTAAGTCTGCGATCTTGGATTGCACTTATTAGATTAGCTCTGTGCTGCGATAATCTGCTCAGCCAAAAATTCGTTATAATTTACGGGAATTCTCGCCTGTAGTCGTTCGCAACGACGACGCGTCCCTTTCGGTACGAGGGTGGCTCGCGCGAGTAGTCTCGAGGGGCCGTGAGGGCGAATGCGTATCCGAAAGATCGCGACGTGAGCAGGGTTCGAGGTGTAATAAGCGCGCTCGCGTGCTGAATGTGTACCGTACGCGAGGGAAACGTAGAGAGAGAGAGAGAGAGAGAGAGAGCGCGCTCGCGGAGCGAGAGCTCGCTCGCCAACTGGAGATGTTATAATCCGGCGATGATCCCATATATCCGGGAGATACATGGGTGAAGGCGACCGGGGAGGAAGAGATCGCATCTTAGAAATATGTTTCTAAGAGGAGACGGCTAGTACACGCGCTAGTATACGCGCGTAAGAATATTACCGTTATAGTTTTATGAAATCCCTGTTGCGCAGGTGCCGAGGGAGATCCTCCGCGATCCTCGGACTTCAATCTTCGAGTCGGCGGTTCTCGTAAGATTTTATAGGTCCGTTGGCCGCAATAAGAAATTGGATCTCGCTGGAATCTCTCTCTACCCAGCTGTTACGCGCCGTCGTGTCGTGTGCACGCTCTTCTTAGGAATACCCGTTATCGGAGCCGTTATGTATTCTGCTGAGAGAGGAACGCGAGCTCGCGGGGGAAGAACGCGCGTTCGAAGGGAGAATCGTCTGATCTGCGTCTTGTCACGTACGTGTCAGTTTTCTCATTCTTTTTTCTATTTCGTATCACTGATACATTCGCTGATGCGCCTGATGATTCGATGACGTAATGACTCGATGTCTCAAGTCGGAAGGAGAACTCGGCGCAGTTATAGAGAACATACACGTTGCACGTTCTCGGTGCAATTTTACAGTCACTCGATGGTTCACTTTTCCAGTTATGCCACATCTGTGTCCACGTCGACCTAATTTTCGGCCAGTTGCCTCCTCCTCCTCCTCCTGCCGCTCTTCGTCCGTAATAATTATAACACACTTACGCTCAACTTGCCAAGCTATTCTCTGCTGCACCAAAATTTGCTTACTCTGTGTTTATTAATTCTCTCTGCCGAGGTGCCGCTTGTTACAACGTCATTGTTCGTTTTTTTCCTTTTTTTTTTATCGTGTTAGTCACTTATTCTTCTATGGCACGTCTCAGTGCACGTGCCAAAGTCTGCGTCCTTGATTAAAGTAAAGTCTCGAAAAGTGTCCGGCAAAGTACACTGCGCGGTATACATTACCGCGCGTGTACGATTTAGAAGAGCAGATTAACTTCTCCCGTCAGTCGAGAAATACGAACATGAGGACTTATTTGGCAGGAAACTATTCAGAAATAATTAAGTGTACTAAATAATTCCCAAGCAAGCCGCGATAAAACGGCGCTGAGTAACCATCCGAAACGTCCAGTCTGTATAATGTAATGCCCGCAAATTCGGCGGAATTTAGGAATTTGACTGATACAGAACCGATCGTATTCCGCGTGTATTCCGGTAAATTCATGTGTTCGCGCCGCGCGCGGGTCGACGACGAAAGTGACGTGCCGTAAGAATCTCGACGGTAACGGACGAATCGAACGCTGCGGCATTAAGCCCCAAGTGTGTCCCAAGACGCAAATGCCAGGATGTCGGAAGGCATCAACGTCTTAGATATCAGGAAGGCATTCCGATACAACGTAGCACACGTTTCTGTCGCACGTAGCAGCGGAGTCTTATCGGAATACGCGACGGGGATGATTTGTCGGTATTGGTGCGGCCGTAAGTTATGATATTCGAATAAAGCTGCCACATTGCTATCCTACCCCCCATATTATCTGCCACGATGTATTTTAACGCTTCAACCGCGAGGAGGACACATCGCGATAGATCGTCCGCTCGCTTTAGCGACCGCCGTGTTAACCAAGTTGGATTAATAAATATTTCTTTCGCCTCTCTTGAACGCTCGCGCTCCGCGTTTATCGATGCTTCTCTCGCGCCACGCGCGGGACTGTTAGTGTAAATAAAATTACAATGCTCTCTCAAGGGAGGAGTCTATTTGATGAGAAAATTTCCTCTCTGCGCTTTCTCTCGTCAGCTGCACTTTCGCAAATCGCTACTTTCTACCGCTCGGATGTGAAAAGTTTATAATTATCTCAACACATCCCCGCGCGCGCGCGCGCGCGCAAACGCACGCACGAAATGTGCTCCGCCGGCCGTTGCGCGGACGCACGGTCAATTAAAAAGCTCATTATCGCATTATTATTTCATAATTTGCGCGCAAACTACCATCTATTATTAAGGCAGCCGATAGAGTTTTCCGACAAAATAAATTACGATTGAAATTGATTCGCCGGCAAATCTAGTTAATTTGCGCGTATATTTTGCATATTTGCTAATACCGCGCGGGCGAGGCATTTACGGCAATTTCCCGTTTCGGTTAGATAAGCAAATAGAGCGAGAGACTCAGAGCCCAGCGGCGGTACGCGGGTGGCACTTTGGGAGTTTAGCACGTGCGAAATGAAGAAATATACCGTCACAAATCACACCGTTACCTCAGAAGATGGCGGGAAGGCGCGAAGGTGGGGTGGGGCATCGGGGGTTGGCGGTGGAGGGCGGGAAGGAGGGAGGAGGCGGCAGAGAGAAGGCGCAGCGCGTAAAGATTATCGCCAGGAACTCCGATAACGTCGCTTGCCGCCGACTACTGGAGGAAATAGCGGGAGAAGTGCCGGCTGCCGGAAGCGCAGCCGCGAGTTTCAAACGATAATAATTTCCTGCGAGTCTCGCGAACGCGAACGCCATTTCGAGATTTCCTATAAATTCCTCGGCTCGTCTGACGAGCGAAGCGAAGAAAGAAGAGAGGAAGAGGGGAGCGGGGGAATGAAGCAAGAGAAAGAGAAACAGTCGCGAGGGAAGGAGCGCGGAGACGTCGAACGGCTTTTTAATGCGCGGCGCTACAAGAGATACCGTAATAATCGCCGACGTGACACACAAGCGGCGGTATTCATTACGGTATCGATACGTTCGATATGCCGAACACGTTGTACCGCTGTGTCAAACGAGACATTTATTCCTCTCCGGCTCTCGCAGTTTCGAGCTCCAGCAGTAAAACAACAAAGGTCGTCTCGACCGCCTCCTTGACGACGTGGCAGAGTCAGTTTCAGCGCGACGCGACGCCGCGCCGCAAAGTTCGGCGACTTTTAACAGACAGAGAAACAAAAGGTGGAGGAGAAAGAGGAAATAGACGAGTAAAAGAAAAAAAAAAAAAAAAGACAAGATCGAGTCGTGGTGTATATCGTGAAAGTTACCTGAATCTGACAGACCACCTCGCCATACGGCCAACATCCGTAAACAGCCGGCAAGAAACCAAAGGGGGTCACCAGAAGACCAATCGCTAGGTCGTTACTCGCTAAGCTCGTCAGCAGATATCTGGGCTGGAAGAAAATTGAGGAGAACCTGTTGATCGCCTTGGTCAGTGTCAATAGACGTCGGGACGGTTAAATCGGTGTATAATATCTCGCGCGCAACAGCGTTGGCTCCATTATGAGGCTTGTAGCGAGAGAAAATATTGATTAAGCCGGAGTAGCCGGGAAACTTCGCTCCGCGGGAACACCGCGCGGCACACGCTTTTGATTAATAATCACGGAAGCCGCTGCGATGCTAAGGGGATACATCATTTTTCGGACGGAGCGGACGGAGAGGCACGAGAGAGTCCTCGACTTACGTTTATACGTTTATCCAACTTGCTCGTACGCGAGGCGGGCGCTCTCGTGTACGTATCATATATATTTAACGAGTCGCGTATATTGCGTGTGCGTAAATCGAATCCGACTCGACGCGAATCCGTGGAGCGAGAAACTATCACCAAAGAGTCGGCGGTGACGGGGGAGAACGAGGGAGAAGAACTGGGGGAAGGGCTGGGGGAGTAGAGTAGATACAGAAAAGTTGGACCTTGTTGCAGCGACCGTACCTAGGGCGACGAAGAAGCTTGCATAAGTCCCGATAACGAATTCGCGAAGGAAACACTTATCGGGATAATTATTTCTCGAGAAACGTCCGGGCTAATGCACGAGCCGCAACATCGGCGGCGGGCGAGCGAGCCGAGCGGAAAGCGCGGCTAAAAGTAGCCAGGAGTCGGTATATATACACTTAAGTTGGCTCTCCCCGAAAAGGTTTTTGCATATTCATGAGCGGGGGAAGTCGATGAATGTCAAAAGAATGACATATTATTACACGGCGCTCTCTAATAAGCTAATTTTCAATTTCGTACGTTACTGCGCGCCCGGCAGCCGGCTCGCCGGCAACTTTTAATTAACCGAATAAGCGGAAGATGTAACATCCGCGAACAATGTCTAACTTTTTGCGGGTACCATCATTAGTTTCTCTCTCTCTCTCTCCCTTTTCCTCTATCTCTCTGCCGAGCCGACGGTATTCATTTAGGATCCGGAAACATAACTACCACCTGCATTTTGCGCGGCTAGCCACTTCAAACTGATTTACATAGGAAGAAGAGAGGAACCGAGAAAACACCGCGGACCGTTCCATCATGGACCGTGAGAGTTATGCCGGCGACGGTAACATTCGCTCGTGCATTCGTGTGTACCTGATATTTTACTCCCCGCAACGACACGACGAGCAAATGCAATATTAATCTCGTCGTGCTGCGCCCTCGTGGAGCTCTCTATTTTCAAGCTTTCGGCAATCAAGAGAAATTCGCGAAGAAGAGATTCGCGAAGAGATCCGTCGTGACTCGTTCTCTTCCGACATGTTCCGGATCTTTGCCTCTAGAGTTTCGGGACTTTGCTCGCACCGCAGCTTCCTCGTCCGGTTGACTTACTAGCTCGACGATGAAGACGGAAAAGCACTCGACGCACTTTGTCGGTCAAGCTTCCGCACTCGCTCGAGATACGCGGCTCTAACGCGGGATAATCGCGGCTCCATAAATCTGCGCGCGCGATCTACGATTTACGCACCTGAGCGTGGATGTACTTGCTGTACCGTCTGCTATTGATGACGCATATCACCAGAAGATTGGCGCACAAGATACCAAGGCTGAGCAGCAGTATCAGAGCGGCTCGTATCAATTCCCCAGGGCCCGGACCCGTCCAAGCCGCCTCGGACGTACCGCCTCGCCAGCAGCTGCTGTTGTTCAACGCTGGCGCCAGCAGGATCGTCTGTTTGTGCTCCATCATCATCGGTCGGCCGCTTAATTCCCCACGTGATTATCGTGCTAGATCTCCAGCCGAGACACCCGTCTCCCGCTCGAGGCACGCGCACTTCGTACGTGCCCGATTGACCTTCGTTAAATGTGAAATTTCATCATTACGGCACGCACACACTCGGCGACATCCTGTGACGGCGAATTTTCACACGTGCAGCCGCGCGTTGTCGCGGCGTATTTACTTCATTACTCCAGGCGCGGCAGCGCAATTTTTGACATCATTATCGTACCGTAACGTTGTCCTTTAACATTATTGTGATAATCACGTAACACGGACAATGACGGCTAATGAAATCAACGTCACAGTCACGAGTCGCCGGACGATTCGCGACACTCGCTTCCACCGTCGCGCGTGACTGAATTTTTTTTTTCTTTTTTCTTCTTTTTTGTCAAACGATCGTACAAAGAGCGTGGGGAGCTAACAGCGAGGCGGTGGTGGTTTTGAGGACGAGTGTTTTCCTTGGTGAAACTCGCGGTGGGTGTTCGAGTGTTAAGAGAGGGTGAGCGCGGGCCAGCCAAGTCGGGACGACCAAATATTATGACGAACCTTTCATCCCTGTCGATCGCGAGTTTCCGAGGGCCCGCCTAGCTGATGGCCGATCGGCTTTTTCAAGCACTGCTTCCTCATCGTCGAGCGAGTCGGGGATCCGCACGATTGCGAGCGTTTGAGCGCGTCTGACGACGCACTCGATGGGGGTGCCGGCCGTGCCTCACGAGTCGTCCATGCGCATCTGCAAAACGGTGCGTGACTTCTGGCGCCGCGCCGCGCCGCGCCGCGCCGCGCTTCACATCGGCGACCGCGACGCGCGCGGCGCATAGCGGGGCCTGGGGATGGGCTTCGTCGAAAAAAAGCATCGTCCTCGATTTCGAATCGATTATCCGAAAAATCGTCTTTGCATAATCGATATTTTCTTAAAAATATCGATAACGACCGATGTTTTCCTAGTTTATTTTAAATCAATGTGAAGAGTTACACGTTGCAACAATAAATTAATGTATCATTAAAAAAATTAAAGACCCTTTTACAATGCTGCTGCAAGCATAAGCTTATATAAGAATAAGGCTATAAGCGTAAGCTACAAGAAATAAACCGATTAAAGTCGGTTGTTCTCATAACAGTCGACTGTTGTTGGTTTATTTTTTACTGTTTTTTACTGTTACAGCTTCATTTTCGCAGCTATCGTAGACGGGTCTTAATAGTAGCAAACAAATTCCCTAGTGATAAACTTTGTAACAAATCTAGTAATATGATCGACGAAAAGAATAATCGGTCTAGGGGATAATCGGCCCCAAAAATATCGGTGTGATAATCGATTTTTCAAGAAAATAAGAATCGACGCTTGTTTCATCGATCGATATTTGCCCCACTGGGGCCTAGAGAACCTCATGGAAAGAGACTGGCAAACCAGGTCACGTGACCAGGTCTTTGCTGATTCGATGGAGGCACAAAGTCTTCTTGACCAATCAGAATATCGATATAGCAAGGCAACAACAGGTTGATTTTACAATGAGTTTTAAAAGCAGTCTAGGCATTTTATACTATGCACAAGACACAAAATTATGTAAATAATATATATTGCGATTCTTATTCTATGTAAATCGAAGCGACAAATATTCTTTCACAATTAATACTTATTACTTACGGATATCCGATTCTTATCGCTGTTATCGATTCGTAGGCGAATCTCTTGTGCGACTCGTCGTAACCTCCTCTAATGATTGACAGATGTACGTCGGACTGCTTTAAAAACTCAGTGTAAAACCAACCTGTCGTCTTGCTATATCGATATTATAATCGGTCGAGAAGGCTTTGTGCCTCCATCGAATCAACAGAGAACCTGGTCACGTGATCAGTTTGCCAGTCTCTTCCTACGAGGCTCTCTAGTGGGGCCAGGTGACATTCTTTGATTCAAAATTCTCTAGGGACCTGTATTTTCAACCGATCATCGATACACCAATGGATGAGGTTGATCCTGAATAAATTCCAAAGAGATCTTATTTGTCCAAATAAAAAAAGTTTTTTTTCTCGAATTATACTAGCTCCAAAAGAGGAAAAATTATCGTTAAACGAGAAAAACTTGTGAAATACTCATTATTCGACACTTATTTCTATCTAATAGCGTATTCAGCGGATTGAAACTATGAAACCAATCAACAGACACTTCAAGATTTATCGAACTTGAAGCAGAAACCCATTAACCCAAAACTCATATGCCCAAGATACAAAAACATCAAATATAGACCCGTTAAGCACAAAACCGAGGGATTTGAAGTCTTAAGCCCATCAACCTAGGAATCTATCAATCCGAGAGCTTTTTAGCTCATGGATGCATGAAGTTATATTAAGTATATATTAAGAGCCCAAGTAGTCCAAGAACCCAATCTAGCCGTAACTCGAGAACCTAATAATACTCGACGTTGAATATTCAGCTATAAAACATTAAGTTCGAGCCCAAGACACTGTACTTTAAACGAAAAACTTTTAAGACAAGCCCTAAACCCATGAACCCCGAACCGATAATTTTTTTCAAAATTTCGGCTAGACAGATCTCTTTGGAATTTATTCAGGATCAACCTCGTCCATTGGTGATCGGTGATCGGTGATCGGTTGGAAATTCAGGTCTCTGGAGAATTTTCGACCAAAAAATGTCATCTGGCCCCACTGTGCGGTGGCGCGAACGAGCGCGCGGCTCCGAAGAGCAGAGGAACGACCAAGGGCAAGGGGAGAAGAAAAAGGTGAAGAAAAAGAGATCGAGCACGCGGGTCAAAATAATACGATATTCAGTTTCCACCGGTGGCTGAATTTACGCTGCTACACTGCGCAAATTACAAAGTCGAACCAGAGAGAAGTTTGACTCGGCAGCTTGCGAGAAAGCTGTCGTGGTTGTCTTGCCGCCTATATCCAGCGAGTAAAATTTATGATAAGATAAAACGAAACTTAGTCGTTATTTTATGCATGCCGGTTGGTAAATTCCCGTGTAGGTAAATTTCAGCGACGAAAGTTCGCGCGCGGGAAACAATATCTTCGCGCTCTAAAGCGTAACGCTCAGGTTGCGGGCTGAGTCGGCGTAACGATGTAACCGCTGAAAGAATTGGTCTCCTTCGCCTCCGCGGTGAAATTCCTCACGCGCGTCTCGGGTCGGTGCGGAAAAATTTGGTTTGATTTTTTCATCAAAGTTACCTTCGTTGGACTCAACGGACGAGTTAATGAATTAATTACCCAATAGCCGGGCAAACGTCGTCGTCGATCTCCCGACACTCTCTGTACCGTTGTGGTAAAAAAAAAACGGCCGGCTTGCCGTTAAAAGAATCGCGAATCGAAGCGAAGCGACCTCAACCGGTTCAATAAATGGGAGCGCGACCGCGCGATTAATTTTTACCCGCGATTTTGCACGTTAAACGCGAGCGCAGGCTACAAAAATCCCCGCCCCGCCACGCAGCGAGTTAAAAGCAACCGTAACGTATAATTAATCTCCGAGTCCAATAATGCCTTTTCGAACGTCCATCTCGAACGCGCAATCCGATCCGGCATCGTTTTACCGGCGGGAGCTCTCCGCGGACAGAGAGAGAGAGAGAGAGAGAGAGAGAGAGAGAGAGAGAGAGAGAGAGAGAGAGAGAGAGAGAGAGAGAGAGAGAGAGAGAGAGAGAGGCCTACGATACGCGTTTTCAACTCATGCGCCGTTCGAGAGCTCACGATGCTTTATTTGCTCTTGCCTGTAATATTTCCAACAATCAAGCACACGGACGCATCCTACCACGTTTCCGTGAATTTTATTTGTACGCCCGTAAACGAACGAAGTCGTTGGTCCGCGAAGCAGACATTGATCGATCGCGGACGTCAATTCCGTTCGCGTCGACGGTGAATCGACGATGCGTTACACTACGTTGGAGCCGAATAGATCCCGGCGAATTCGCACGGATCGCGTCCATCCGTAATAATCTCAGCCATTCGAACCGCGAATAATTAATTATAAACCTTTTACGCCGCCAGGTACACTCTCGGCATACACAAAGCTCTCTTCTGTGCTCTTTTCCTCTCTCTCTCTCTCTCTCTCTTTCTCTCCTCTTTCTCTCTGCGTGTCCCTCGTCTTCCCCCTTTCTCCCTCTTTCTCTCAGGCCGTTACAATGCGGACGCGCGCGACACGCGTTGTAATTAAAACCCAAAAGATTCCGCTTACACCGCGTGCGCATGTCGAAACAGCGTAAATGGAAAAATTAATTGAATCTCGCCAGATAGCGAATTGGTTGCTGCTCGCCGCCGGCGAAGCCCTATCATGAAAGCGCGTACGATATTCAAATGATAATTAATGCCACGACCTGTCGCGACTGCGCGCGAGAAAACATGCGAAAATTTGCGCGTCATTAAACGGCTCAACGTCGACGGGCTGAAAGCGACGCGAGGATCGAGCGGGGGCTCGCACTTGCCCGATTTACTCCGACGCAGCGTCGCTCGTTGGGTGAAACCCGCTGCTGCCAGCAAGTGTCACATCGCACTAATCGTCTCGAACTGCGTCGAGAGTTGAACCGCGACATTTCGTGAACGGTACCGGTAAGTACAGCACGTGTCCGATCGGCCTCGTGACAATCGGCACCGTATCGGCGATTCGTCAACGCCTGCGGTGCAGCGCAAATCGGTCGGTTAGACTTCATTAGAACGCCGCTAACGGCGGTGGCGTGCAAACAGGCAGGGAGGATTTCGCTATCCGTGAGAGTACGAGATTCACGCGACCTTAATCGCATTCCTGTTGCGCGTAATTACATTCTCTAAGCGCATACGTTTTCTCATTCCCTGATTACAGCCACATGACTTATTCGCGAGACGGTCGCTCGTTCCTACTTCGGGACAAAGCCGTATAGTTACACAGAGGTGCTTTCTGCTTGCGCCAGCGTAATTTCAATTAAATACGCTTATGCGCTTTATAGCGGGCATCCGGCGAGATAGAGAGAAAGAGAGAGAGAGAGAGAGAGAAAGAGAGAGAGGGCGGGGAGGGGGGGGGAAGGAAGAAAGAAGCGGCACGGAAATTAGAGGAATAGAAAACTATGAATATGTAATGATGTTACTCGGGAAAATAATCTTCTAAAATAAATCCAGTCCGACGGGAGTAAACAGCTGCTGCTGCTGCGCGCGATTCTCGTGGCCTCCGCAAATATTAGCGTTCCTCCGCGTAGATCGACTCACATACGTGACTAACCATCTTTTTAATTTACACGCGCCCCACGTGTCGCCCGCTGCCGGTTCGCCAATAGCCAATTTTCCGGGACGTCGTCGCGCTGCGTGATGGTACACGCAACGGAATGCGTCTACGACGCGTAAATTCTTACGCGACACGTTTGCACCCGCCGGCGCACACACGCGCGCTCGCGACGAAACCTTCGCGACGCCTTCGAGGTACGTACAAAGTCCGAAGAGGGCATATCTCTTCGCGGCGGTTTTCGCGGTGCAAAGTTGCCCGCATTGACACACACCCGCGTCCCAGCCCCTCCTCCCTCCTTCCCCCCCCCCGTGACGCTCTCATTAAATATCGCGAGAATATTTTATTGTGAATGCACGGCGAGAGTAATGACGCACCGGTATTATCGAAGAACCGGCCGAACCGCGTTCGTCGCCGAGAAAGCCGAAAGCCGTCCCCGTCCCGACTAATGAATAATGATGGGCCGATGGCGAAGACTCGGGGGGGGGTGGGGTGGGGAGGAGGGCGGCGAGTAAGGTGGGCAAGAGTTAATGAGCGCG